TAGGGAAATGTCACTGATCTTTTTTTCTGTGCTGGTGTTTGGTGCAGGGCTTGTGCTCTGAGCTTGCCCAAGGAGCTGGAATGGGGGTCAGGCATCCACCAGGTGTGCACAGATTGAACAGGAGATGGTCCATGGGGACAGATGGAAGGGGAGGCCAGTGCTGTCCCTGGAGCCATGAGCACTTCCCCAGGACAGCAGTGTCCCCCCTGTGTGCTCTGGAGGGGAGCTGGGCAGGGGAGCTCGGCAGGAGAAGGGGGAGGAAGGGGCAGTTGTGGGTCCCATTTGGTGGGACAGGAGGGCTGGGGAATGCCATGAGCTGCAGGTGGAGGGAGGGGACAGGAGCAGCAACAGGCACAGGGAAGGCAGCCCTGCGGGCACCTGGGGGCACCAGAGCAGCTCACGCTCTGGCTGCATCAGCTGCAGCAATGGGGCTGGTTTCCCTGGAGCTTTGCTTTTTGCTTCAAGCCAGACTGGAGCTGTGAGGAGTTTTTCTCTGAGTGCCAGCTGAGCAGGCATCTGTCCGAGGCTGGATCCTGCAACCTGACCAGGGCTGTGGGCTGCGTGGGGGCGGGAGCCTGCTGAAAGTCCCAAGGGGCCTTCTGGGCATCTCATTAAATAACCTCTGCAAACGAAGGGTAATTGCAGAACTGGTGCCTCGGTAGATGAGCAGGCCGTGGGCTGTGGGCTGGGTTTGCACGATGCAAATTGGAAATTCCAGTGTAAATGCAACAGGAAAAGAAAACCTTAAAATGAGTCATTTGCCTGAGAGGGGGAAGAGCTTTCCAGCAAACAAGTCAGACCCCAGGGGTGGGTTTTGCTCTCAAGAACTGGGCTGTGCTGACTTCAAACTAGAGCCTTGTCAGCAAGCAAACACCTCCCTGGCTCAGTCCTATTCCCAGGGCTTGTGAAGAGCCAGGGCCACAGCTCCTGCTGCTGGTGTGACCACAGGGGACAGGGGCTGCTCCCAGCAGGGCTATGAGGGAAAGACCTTGGAGAAGGAGCTGCAGCAGGTCCATGTCCTGCAGACGTGCCCTGTCTCTGTGTGGTGTGTGGGGAGGGGAGGTGTGTTCATCTGGGCTGGGGGGTTTCAGTGGTCATTATTAAACAGCTGCTTGTTGGCTCAGTGTCTTTTAAATGTGTCCCCTGGGTTGGGGAACAGCTGGCAGCTCCCTGCTGGCCTCTCCTGGCAGGGAAGTGGAGCAGTTTCACTCCCAGCTGCCTTTTTAATATGCTTATTGTCTTCTCAAGGTGCAGCCTGTGTTCTCTAAAGCTAATGTCAACGTTTCAATGCAGAGTACAGCTGACCCGAGCAAAATGACACTTCATTGAATCAGTAAAAAATAAGTGTCTCTGTGCCCCTTTTCCTGCATTGAAATCGTTGCTTTGGTTTGATTTAATTTCTCTCACCACTTGGGTTCAGGCAGGTTTTTAAAGTGAATCCTGGTGCTGTGTAGACTGGAGGTACTTCCCTTTCTCTCTCATCTGTCTCGATCCTTTCCTAGAGTGACACAAAATATCAAAAAGGACTGACAGAATCAGACTCCTCTATAATTTCTTTACAATTTCTTATACTTAAAAAAACCCTAAAATTCAGTTGGGAGGATTTTTGCAACGTGTGGAAGAGAAACTTGACTTGGAGGTGTGTGATTCTAGGTTGTTCCAGGCTTTCCAGATCTGAGAATGAGACATCAGCCCCTTGGGCAGGTGGAAAACATGGATTTCCCATGGCTTAGTCTGGCTTTAGGAAGCTGGAAAGGTCAAGGTGGATATCTAGACCCAGACCACTGCTTTCCTTCAGGCAACACCACCTTGACTTTAAGCCTGAGAGATGTTTCTTCAACCTGTTCCTCACATGAAGATGGAGACTCCAGATCATCCCTTGCAGATGTTCAGGGGATTTTGCTGCTGTAGCAAATGTTTCTGTGCAGAGCAATTGTCAGCAGCTTGTGCCTGAGCTGAGCCCAGCCTGTTGTCAGGCTGCTGGAGGCTTGAGGAGGAGGGAGTGTGACTCCTGCGGGTGGTTATTGTTTCTCTGGGGGGTTCCTGTCCCACACTGCCAGTCCTGGGAGAGCTTCTCTGCTGCAGGTCTCCTTGGGAGCACTGGGATGCTCTTGTACAGCTCTGGAGATGGCATCAGGAGTCTGAGACCCCAGGCAAGCTGTAGACCCAAGTGAATGGCCCCTTTTCCTGCTGCTTCTGGAAGGTTGAGCCTACTGGCTTCTCATGCTTTGCTTGCCATGTCCAACGTTTTCCACCACAGCTCTGCTTGCAAGGGCAGGATTTCCTCCCTCTCCCCCTTGTCACCCTTCCTCAATTCTTTCTCCCTTTCTGTCCCACTTTGACTTCAGCAGGGGAAAGGATGCTCCAGTGTGGTGATAAACAAAAGCCTGGTCAGACCCATCCATGGTCTGGGACGGCCAGAGCTTGTTGCCCTGGCTCTGGTGGGAGGTGAGGATGGAGAGCTGGGTCTG